TCGAGCCATTAGAAAGGACAGTTCGATACGTCACGGCATCGATGCTGCGCACCGACAGTGTTCCGTGGTGTATCTCGTCGGCTGAACCAGCCACTCTATCCGGGTTGAATATCGGGGCGGGGATGCAACATCTGGAACTGCACAGCCTCACTCGTAGCGACGAGGTGTCTCATATACATTGTCCATTCTGTCTGGGCGATGACGAAGACCAGGCGGATGAGAGCGTAATCCTACGTTGCAAACGGTGTCGGGGATTAGCTCATCTAGGCTGCGTGGAGGAGTGGCTGGAGAAGCGCGAGGCGGCATCTAACATGTCCTGCTGTGCTTGGTAAGTCTCGATTAGCCTTCCCAGTTAGTTCAATTGCTTATACGTCGCAGCCGGAGTGACGAAGCTCTGGATGCCCTGCTCCGCTCACCGAGGACGATCATGACAAATCCCGACACGGCAGTTGAAAACGCGAGAACACGTGGATCTCCAGTGGCGGAAGAGACGGATGCCATCGACAATCCTCGGCGGGCCGGTTCAGCCCGTCTACCGGCGCAGCCAGTGTCATCGCGCCGCAGATCAACAATGTCTGGCGCGGGACGCAGTGTTCGTCGGTCAGCCCGTCTGGCTGACACGACTCCTTCGCTTCGCCGATCGTCGCGTCTGAACCGATCATAGCACAAGGTGGTGCATACGTCGGTGGTTGGTAAATGGATAGGATATGTGAGGCGAGGGGTCAATATTCATTCGCAATGTTTCCGCACGTGTCTAGACAGTTGTTCGATGACAATCCTGTCTGGTCACGGCCGCGAATCAAATTGCGCTGCATATGTGCGAGAAGACAAGTAACAAGCACCCTCAATAATTCATCAAACTTTGGTGATTATAGATGCAGAGATCGTGAGATCTGGGTGTTCGACAGTATGACGGCGTGCAATAGCTTTTGAATAATACGAATCAGAGTCAACCTCGGACGCCTGCGGAACACGTAGAATATCAGTATACATCATACTTGATCCGAATACAATGAAGTTACCATTTGTGCTCTTGTTGCATGAGTTAATCCCGCACTGCATATTCCCATCAAAGCCTAATATGCTGCAGAGAGTGGCATACATTGTCCGAATGTTACTGGAGAGTAGTTCTGCCATTCTCAAACGACCCTGGCGAGGTTCGATCAGATGGAACTCCGTAGAATGCCCGATCCTCGTCCAGCGCAATCATGGCATAATATGTCGATGTGTGCGACAGACCGGTAAAGAGGCACATTCGATGTGTCTGACGAGCGAACTGCCGACGGCAGCCACAGGGAACCACTTCGTTGGTGAGGGCTATATGACGGGTTAGCTGTATCTCCTTGAATGGCCGATTGCCACTGACCTGCTTTCTCGTGGAGAAGCGCCGTCTCGGCACTTGCACAATTGCCTTCATGCAGCACAACATGGTAGTCCGGGCCGCCAGACCCGAGCGTGCGAAATGCCTCCGTCTCGTTATCTTCCCAGCTGACCAGAATACCCCTGGGGTATGGCTTCAACTTGATGCTGTGCGGCAGGTATCGCAATCGCAGTCCAATTTGACCCATGAACTTTATCTCTGCCGGCCGAGATTTCGGATGTGCTTTGAACATGGAGGCAATCGATCGAACCAAGAGCTCTTCTACTACATGACCACAGAAGAACGGGGCGATCGTGTCAGCGAGGCTGCTTGGAGACTAGGACCGAAGAACGACTGGTGGTATGTGGAAGCGTAGTTCAACCTTCGGTGATGAATCTCCAACGTACCCTGTCCTTGCCAAAGTATACATCGGCCTTGTAAGTCAAGCCTTTGACGTAAACCACCGGAATGTGATCGGTGAATTTCAGCAGAGCAAAATAGGCCCGCAAAGCTTGATCGACTATTCTCGCAAATGTCGTGTTCGGGACGGTATAGGGCTTCGCAACCTTGAATGGCTCTTGCTGCTCTTTTTCGACGGTTCGGATTGAGCAGTGGGCAGGCAGCAAGTTCTATAGCGTCTCGGGCAGGCGCGTCGGGCGCTTGCCGAGGCTGTCCCGGATTGTGTTTACAGTCTGTCTGCATCAGTCATCAGAATGCCAAAGAGTCTGCGTCCGAAGACCTACCTGATCATTGCTATTCTCGCTGTAAAAGAACTGCTTATATGCTGATTCGCGCAGCAGGTATTGCCAGACTCGAATGGTCGTCGACGGCTCTAAGAGACGGCCTGCTAGCCGAGCGCCGGACGCGACCGGTCGAGCCTGAGTTGGCCCGTCGCGCGCTAATCACCACCGTAACATCTCTCTCAATGTGGGAACGCATCCTTCCCATATCGGTGGAAGGATTGGTCCAAGCGACCACGTCACACTTCTGGGATAGTGTCACAACGCAAGAAATCTATCTGAACCCTGTGGGCATTTCAAACCTCGAGTTGCACCCGCTCGCCGCAATGCTCACTTGGTAGCCGTCGAGAGAGAGGATCAACGCAGCCAGCTTGAGACCCTCGCCGTGATGTCCCACGAGATGGTGGTGAGCGTCCTTAGTGGTGAAGCCCATGCCAAGGGCATCGATGGAGAGTTGCGTGCAGGCATTTGCGATGATGACTCGACCTGTCTTTTTCTCATACTTATTGAAGCCCAGCGTACGTCGACGCTCGCTTTCGGCTGCCCAGTTGGGGATGGACCGGTCGGGAACAATGATCCAGAGATGATCACGGCGGCCCTCAAAAAATGGCTGGAAGCCCTGGCGGTCAAGGTGAAACCTCTCCACAATGGCGTCTTTCCTGCGTAAATCAGCGCCGGTCCCGCAAAGGAGATCAGTACCCACCAGTTTTGGTATAACTCTCGAAAAGCATCTGCTGCCGCCCAATCTTTCACATACCCGGAGGAGATGCTGAGGGAGACGACACGTCAGGAGGCCAGGCATGCGGTGAGTGTGCTTGCCTGACTCTGGAGCAGCTCGCATGCCAGCTGCTGATTCACTTGGGCCATGAGGTTGTCATCATCGCAACAGTCGGCGCCGTGATGGTGCATTTTCCTTGATGTCAGGTGTGAGAATCCAGTTGTGAGAGTATGTATGAAGAGAGTACTGACTCGGAACAAGCCCAGAATATTTAAATATTGCCTGTCAAGCCCCTTCACACCCATAGATGCCGTGGTTGAGAAGTTGAGCAACGGTGATCAATCGCCATGCGATCGAGACAGCAATCTGAGGTGGTGAGCAGGTGTATAGATTTTCTTACTTGGGGCTTGCAGATTGAGTCCCGCATTATTATTGGGATCGGCCAGTGAATGCTGTGAGATCGTTGGTGCTATGAACTTGACCTTCAACGTTGAATCACGTACGCGGCACTCTTTGAAAGCAGTACACTGGAAATAGTTGATGGAGGCGTTCTAACGGTGCATTACTGTTGTCTAATCAAAATTTATTCTAAGCTTATACGCTATTTTCCTGCAGGCATGCTGACCTCAACTCATGGTGGTTGTCCTACACCTGCAGAAAGAGCTGACAGATGAGGCTGATCAGTCCCAGGAGAAGGAACCTCCTTATTTGTACCGCCGTCGTTGATAGAGGTCCAGCGTTTGAACAATATCAGAATGGAAAATTGCTGGATCATATCCAAAAGTCACAATTTTATACAGTACATTAGTATTCCTACCGTTTCTCCATCACTTTGCTAATGGGAATCACAGAAAGACGGACCCGTGGAACTGTTACAGTAACGGCTTCATTTTTCAATGTAGTTCTAAAGAAAATGTGAGAACATGCTGGACTTTGCTCAGAAAAAATGCCTCACTGATCATTGAAGATGCAATAGGGTCGACTTCAAGTCGTACGCTGTTGATCGTACCACTTCTTTTAGGCACTGGCAGGAAGCCCAAGAATGGTACTGAGAATCCTCTATATATCTTCTCTCTCCTCACCCGTAACCTGAATTTATATGCATTTGATGTGTGAGATCTTTCTTTCTTCTGTCCAGAAGCTACGATTTTAACGGTTCTCCGCCACTTAACTTTATCTAACAAACCAGAGCCACCAACCATATGAAAAGGTCACTGTACTTTGGAAATGAACCCAGATCGTCCAAAAAAGCAAAAACGGGAATCAGCGCTATTCAATGGATCAAAAAGCTTCCCAGGGAGCTAATTGATCACATCGGTTCTTATACTTCGATTTTTGCTCAGCAAAAACTCCTATCGTGTCTAGGCCATGAAGCGTGGGGTTCGGATCAACACCGCATGCGGCTTTGGTTTTCCATCTTCAAAAGCGATCAGTGGCTTAGAAAAATGGTAGACGAACAGAACGCAAAGCCGGTACTGGTCGGGTCGCATCTTCGCACGCTTCCCGGGAAATGCTGTGTCATCTTGTATATTTGCAATAAGGGTCGACAATTTTCACCCTCGTGGAGACTGTTCCGAGAGTGTCTCCAAGATCACACTGTCATGCATGGTGCCGAAATGGATCTCACATCCGGCGTTACGCTGAACGTTCAAGATCTATTGGATCGCAGCTCCGTGCCGACTGTCCAGCTTTCAAACCCGACAGACGCCTTAGTGCTTCGAGAACAAGATCCGGTGATACAATATTCATTCTATCCCACATCCACCATCCAAGATATTAAGCAGTGCGACATATCGACTGATACCCGAGGGTGGTGTTGGACGCTCAAACTCTCCAACAATGGTACCAGTTTCCAAGTCAATCTCCGAACGCAATTAAATATTTTTGAGACTTCTGATACTTCTTTCTGGGGGGATTTAGTGGCAGCAGCGGAACGACGCAAATGAAAGCCGAGATTGCCAAATAGCCCAGGAGAGCCATGTATCTTGGCAAAGAAAGAGCCTCAATATGCTATTTATACCAGACGCCGCGAGCCTGTATATAATCCGTGTAGCACGTATCTAAATATATGACCTGTTCAACTGTGTTTCTCAATCTTCGCTCAATCTGACCTTGTTCACAGACAACACAGAACCGATTCTCAAGATACATAAAAGCGGCAAGTTGTAGAACCAGCTACATCATGTCTTTCAACGCCGTTGCATCTCAGATTTGCATTCGTCTCCTCATCTTCTTTCTCGCCCTCACTTGGCTGTCTATAGCTGGCCTCAGGTCAGCGCTCGCTCACTCTGCGGTCGTTCTGCGAGATCGCGCGAGATCAGACCGTACCAAGGGCTCCATGCTTTCCATTACGTTTGAAAATGTGATGACCGATGTCTTCAAGAGCATGGTAATCTTGGCTCTCCTTTCGGCTTTATTCTCAACTTTTGGGGGCATGCTCCTGATCCACCCGCGACTCTTACAGGAGAATAGCAATGCCCACTATCCTGTTGGCTGCTTTCACTTCATTTTGAGCCTGGCAGTCCTCTCTGTCGGAGGGTATGTTGCGAACCGTGTTCATAGATATCAAGGCCTGTTTGCAGGGTTCAACGATAAAGTGAGCCGCTTTCGATATTACAAGATGATGTACTATGGAGGTATTGGTTTTGCTGCCTATGGATGTTTGGTCATCATCATAATCATCATTTATGTTGCGGTGCAGTGTCACATGCTTCGGTCCTTGCTATGGACTGTCTTTCAGGGAAATGATTGCATTCCCCGGTGTAAGAGGGATAGATCGGTTCTAGTTTCGCAAGGTGATGATGATGCTGCTGCGAGACCAAGATAGCCTCCAGAAAGTTTAGTATTGCTCTTTTCAGTCGACTATTTAGGGTTGAATAGCCTGAGAAGTATGTTGAACATGAATATCATCCTGAAACGCGCTTAAAATGAATGTGCCTCTTATCGAACCTCACCAGCCAAACTCCACATATACGTTCTATCTTCCATTCTTCAAGCTGCCGCAAAGTAAAGCTACACGGAAAACACCAAAGCTGTCGTCATCCCTTTTTGGGGTTCCTCACGTTGGTCATGGTGGATAATGGACGGGTTTTTGTCACGACGCTCACCGTCCTCGCTATACATGAGAGCTACAAAAATCTGATCTCCCCAATCTTACGTGCAAGTTTATCGGTTCCCAGGGTCAGCATAGGCCCTAGAAACTCGATGCCGCTTCCAGGAACTGGATGATCGGCCCTAGGAACAAACATACCGGGCCTTAGGAGCAGAAACTGTAACCCCAGGATTTGTCACACAAGATTCCAGGAGCGTTCCCTGTTATAGGAACATCCAATTTAGTCTAATCTTGTCAGATCATTCCGTGGAAAATTGCTTGGCATACAGTTGTCTAGTTCACTCCGCTAGAGGATGACTTTCAGCTGTTCCAAGCGGCCTAGAACAGTGCAGTGGCACCGTCTGGGAATGTTAGTGGGCTGACTTTGTTAGCGTCGTTCACAAATACATTAATGGCCTGCCCACCCTTTGCCCTGTTGTGGCCAGTTCTAATTCATCATATTCTATTCAGAGATCGCACACTACCCATTTCACTCTCAATATGACGACTAGTGGTGCAGGGGAAAATCATCCCGACACAATTAGAATATCAGATGAGAATGAAGAAAGATTTCCAAGAACTGACCCAGGTAATTCACGGCCTCGGATCCACCCTCAGACAGATTCGAGATATGTGGAAGTTGCCGGCGTACTCATTGAATTAAGCGCAGATACACGTGACACAACAACATCACGGAAAAGAAAACGAACGAAATCGAGCGAAGTGTCTACCTTGGTATGGCCTGATTGCGTGATTAGACATCATCTTCCGTGGCTGATCAACACTAGGACCATGCTTTCAGAAGCTCCGAACCGCACTTGACCATGAAATCACAACATTGCGAGATACAAACCGAAAGCTCCAAGATGAACTTTGCGTGGCGAGAGACGAGCATCAAAAGCTACAAGCCAAACTCTCGCAGTTAGGCAGAAAACTAGTCTTAGAGTGCACGGTTTGCTACGAGCAGACAGGGAAATGGGCGGCACTTGTATGTGGGCACATGTTTTGCCGGTCGTGCGTTGAAAATCTCGACAAGCCAGAGAGATGTCCACTCTGTAGGGTATCCATCACAGGATACCTCACCTGCTACCCATTTGCAGGATGAATTCCAGCAGTGCAGCCCTGTGGAAAAATCGTGACACTTTTTCTTTATGCGTGGTTTATCAGGTTATTGGGGTGCAATATACCAGTTTTTAATTTCCGGCCCGCGTTCTTCACTTTTTCCAGGTTGTCTTGTCGACAGCATAGAAGTAAGTACTAAATCGGTTCTCTCCATTGAGATCATAACCATAGTCAAGCGAACAAAGAACTGCAGGCAGAGTGAATTTGAAAATGATGAGAACGCTAACCATCCTCCTACCTATCACAAGTTTGTGTTTATGAAGGGAAAGGAGTAAAATGTATGCTGATTGCTTTGCTCGAATGCTCTCGAGATGATCTTAAGCAGTCTGTATTTCGTCTATCGTTGTTCCGCATATGTTGTTGTGCAGACGTTTGGTATTATGAAAAACTGTCGAACGAAATATGGGCGATCATACCGCTAGACCAAAAAGGCACCATGGGTGAAATTCTTAGTCTATACTTCTTGTTTTGACAAGAACTTTGCTCCAACACTGGGCAAATAAAGGCAGCAGAGATCTGGGTAAGTAGCAATGAAAGACCCGTCTTTCCAGCTACAAAGAGGTCACCTGTAATTCTCTATCAAGCTATGTACAAAGAGATCTGGATTCAGGCATGTCGCTGAGGGAAGATTTGCCTGTGAAGGCAGGGCCGTGTCCGGTGTATACGTAAGTGGTTCCGTACCCGGCCGTAAAAACAATCGGAAGAAGAGTCTCGGCTCGTCATCCATAGGCCCAGAGATGATGCTCAGCATCTGTCTGCGCACCCAGCAAAGATCACCTCTGGCAGATTTGGTCGGAGACAGATGGAACAAATGCTCCTCAATTGTGTCGCCCGTGATCCGATCTAGCCCTGTAAGATGAATCACCACCCAATGCAGTAGTCTGGCCGGAACAAATGCCGACATATAGAGCAATATGTCGTCGGTTTCAGTGGTGTGCGATAGAGGATCTGGACCCGGCCACATGAAGCCCGCTTGAAGATTCTGGGGGTCAGGAAAGAGAATACACTCGATCGGAAGTGGTGTCGGAGCGATAGACCCAACAGGCTGGTCCTCGGTAGTTGGCTCTAGTAAAAATCCATCACGGTCGGAGGCGAGGGAGGGGGACATGTATGGTATGTCGGACGAGTTGCACCCAAATTCATGAAGGTCAACATCGTCTACACTCTAGTGAGCTTAGTACCACACGTTTGAAGATAGGGTAGAGTACGTACCACTCTCGGGAAACCCCATATTCAGCTGTCCTGGGCTCGAGAAAGGCAAAAGACAGAGGGGCCAGAGGCAGAAAGCCAATAAAACGTAGCAGTTTCTGAGGATAACGAGCTGCTGGAAGTTGGAGGAGCCCTTGAGGGGATCTAATATCTAAGGTGCGCTGTCGGGGAATCACAAGATTTATCTATGGGCACGGTGAAGGGGCCTCTATCCAAAGCCACGAAGTCAACTTTCTCTCCTTATGGACACCAAAAATGTTCAACGGTGATAATAGCATCATTGATAACGGTGAATGCTCCTTGTGGCCTCCCGTCAGCCACTTTTTGTGCATGTTTCTAATCAGATCTAGATTCTATCATTACAGCTGGTGGACTTGGTATCTCCACACTTTGTTTCCGACCCGGTCAGACGGAGGGCAATCACATTTATAAAAAGTTTCATGAAGAATTTTAAATTCAGCATGTGTGTAGCCCACAATTATTGTCTATAGCATACCCAGAAAGAATTTGCGCAGTACAGAACCATTCTACGTATCCTCAATTTCAGGAAGCTCCTCTCTATCGTTCAAGTCGCACCGGTGAAACGCTGGGATTGTGTTCAAATGTTCATTACTTTTAACTAGCTCACGTGTCTTTAGACGTATAATTGTGCCAATTCTCAAGCAGGATATTTTCTCAAGCTGCGGAAATTGAAGGAGGAATTGTTGGAGGAAATGGAGGGTTTGTCAATTTCTTTAGAGATGCATCGAAGATTTGGATGCTTACTAGTGAGCTCTCAACCTCTTAAAATGCGATGGAATTGTCTCTAAGATACACTCGAGCTCAATTTGAATTACCTTTTGCACGTTGCACATTGAAGACACCCCCCGCTTGCGCGCGAAGTGGGTGATCAGCGCCGGAAATCAAGTGGAGATGGAGCCCCACAAGCTACTCCGGGAACCTCCGTCTCCGTCTCCGTCTCCGGGGCCACCGCGCTCCGCATCGAGAGGCCATTTGCGATCTGCATCGGGGATCCGCTTGTTTGGAATGGCGCTGATGCCAGTGGAATAGTCGCTGCAGTCGGGAGGGCGGATATCATGCTGATTTTCTAACATCCAATCCATCCGGACCACCGCTTGATCTCACTTCGCATACTTAATTGCAGGATCTTGATACCCGAACAGTGTCTCTCGACTGGATTCTCATTCGAAATTTCTGGGCGATCGCATTCTACCCTTTCCATGCGACCCATTTGCAGCAAGGTCACGAGTGAGCTATGGAACATTCTCTCCAAAACTTCGTCAAATTATCTAAACTCCACGCTGACCGGAACTTATCATCTAAGATCTGTCAAGGCGCGGCTGTGACAAGCGCGCCGACCGTCGAAGTGATGGAGAGGTGCGAGATTCCACAACCTGGTATGATCCTCTGGCAAGTCGAGCTGACCGACGGACACCGTATTCCACGTCATGTCTCATCAACTGCTCTTGAAGAAAATAAAGAATCCGGATGTTCGATGCTGCTTCGATGGCGCTCCGGAAGTGGCGAACATTTCTCGCACGACGGTCGCGGCAAAGACGCCTGACCACGTGCTCCTTCCCATTACGGGCTGCCAGCTCCAGGGCTGACTCTCCATATCGATTAGTACCCGTGACATCTAGTCGATCGTCTTGAAGCAATAGCTCCACGATATCCAGATTCCCGTAAGAGACGGCCATGTGCAGTGCGGTGTCCCCAAGAGAGGTCTTTGCATTAACATCCAGTCGAGTCCCTTGTTCAAGAAGTAACTTTGCAACGCTCCGGTAGCCGTTCTCGATCGCAATAAATAGAGGAGACTTGTGCCAGACAGTCTGATTGATATCAACCGCTTCAAGGGAGACAAGTCGGCGGACAACTTCCAGATGTCCCCTTTCGGCGGCAAGATAAATGGGAGACGCTCGCGATACATTCAAATCCAGATCGGTCCTAGTAAGTAGGAGCTCCAACATCCGCAGATCACCTTTACACGCAGCATAGCTGAGCGCTGTCCATCCCTGGTCATCGCAGATGTTTGGGTCCAGTGAATCCAAGTCCACAAGCGCACAAGCGAGGAGAATATTTCCATTTTCAACCGCAAAGTGAAGAGCAGTCTTTTGGCCCAGGCAGCGTGCGTTGACATTGGCTGGTTCCTCGGCCAAGATCTGCAATGCGACGGATCGGTGGTTCCCACGAGCGGCCGCACAGAGAGCTGTAGCTCCTTCGCTGTCAGAAGCAGCAATGTCAATTCCAGGCGTGCTCAAAAGTAGCTTTGTGGTTGACTTATGCCCATAAAATGCGGCGAAATGCAGTGCTGTGTGGCCCCCTGGGTCGGTACTATTGACATGGACTCCATGGCTCAGCAACAGTTGGATGACGTCGTCATGCCCATTGCTGGCGGCTTGGTGCAACAAGGGCTGGCCGTATCTGTCCCTGACGTGCACCTCTGCACCATACATGATCAGAGCTTGAGCAATTTCTTCCAGACCGGCGGAAACAGCTAAACAAAGCGGGTGTTCACCATTCACGTCCACCAGCCGAGGCTGTGAAGGATGAACTGCTGAATGACGAAGCAGCAATTGGATGATAGGCAAATTCCTTTTAGAAATCGCCAAGTTGAGAGGTGTGGTCTCTCGGTAGTCCGTCATCCATATGTCGCTTTGGAGTTCCAGGAGCAGTCGTACCAAATCCTCATCGCAATTGGCGACAGCATACCAGATGGCATTTCGACCCTTGTAATCTTCACAATCCACTGATGGATTGAAATATCGCAATAGCATTCGCACCACCGACAGGTGTCCTCGCTGCAGAGCGTACAGCAGAGGGGTCTGCTTTTGGCCATCTTGCCAGTTGATATCTGCCGCGCTTTCCAGAAGAGTTCGGATCATTTCTTCACTTCTGATTTGAATGGCGTGAAATATAGGTGTGCGGGATCTATAATCTTGCGTGTTGGCATTTCCTCGATGCTCCTTTAGCATTCGATTCGCCAGACCGATTTGGTTGTGTTGAGCGGCCCAGGTCAAGGCAGAGCTACGCTGATGGCGAACATTGAAGGCGTAGAGACACGGGAGGAAGACGTCGCTCGAAAATCTATTCACAAGTGCCATCCCAAGCAAATCACGTGATGAATGCAAGAAATCTGCAAGGTAGAGAAGGATTTCTGTGGGAAGCCGAAACAGCATCTTGGGGTCTTGGATCCGAGACTGAGCGCCGTTTGCTTGGATATCAAACGCATACCAAGGACAAACGTCAAGATTCCAAATGGTAGTCAAATAGACCTGAAAACGTATCGGTGGAAGGAATCGTCGCTTTTATATCGTTTGTTCAGTTTCTGATGCATCAGCCTAGCTCTCTGATTCAGACTAACGTGCTATTCTATGGATCTCTAGAGGCAAACGGGAGGCTCCCAGGGGCTTATGAATTCCCAGGGCCCGAGAGAACCACTCACGGGAACGTCGGTCGCGATTCTAGGAAATAAGTCTCAAGGGATAGGTTGAGGTCCAAAAGCCGTGGAGGAGCTCCTGGGGCCGCATAGGCCATAAAATCGGTTCAAATTAGCTCATTCATATAAGTAGACTGTCGCATCCTGGTTGTTTTTTTCAGATATTTCAATCTGTGAACAGATACTTACTCCAAGAAGTCAATCTAAGCAAGCAACAGAAACCGCTTATAAGCAGTTAAGGGTATAACTAATAATTCGCCATCGTGGTTATACTGGATTCTCATTCAAAGAATCTCGGGCTCAGTTGGATATGCAACAGCAGCATTGTGACTAGTAGACAGCTGGCCAGACTAGCCCATCATATATTCGACAGATTCTATAGCAAGAATGGAGTCTCAGTCCGTAGCGGTGACGCTCGTAGCTATATTCCCTTCCCAGGCGCAACTGTTTTGTTTTAAGTTTTCCATTACAGTACAATAGTGCACTCATCATGTCCACCCATTTTGCAGAGATTCTGGGAGGAAATACCGGTGGAGATACAAAAATGCATGATATTCGAGATGCCGCTGGATTGACTGAAGAATCATATGCTGTGCGGGAAGCGGAACCCCCTCTGGTTCCGAGGAGAGAGCAAAATGCGTAAAGTACTTCTGGTCAACCAGTCAGTCAAAAGACGTTGGCATCATCCGAATTTGTGTTCTCACCGGACACTGGTTTTCCTTCGATCCTGACCCTCAACATGCGTCATCCATCCTCGATGCCCGCAATTCGCAACCCACCACAGACAAACAACTCCTGCCGCCACCGCTAGTCGGTCTCTGGACAAGCCTCCACACCAATGGAGACTACACACACACAATTCATTAACGCCCGGCGGCTGAGCCGAAAGGGCAACTATCACTAATCTACCAGTACATGCATGTTTGGGTATACGCCGTGTCTCCTTGGAGCCCATACAGTATTTCCTTCCGTATTTGTCATTTCCGCTTCCAATCTCAGAGCTGGTCCCTACAGTGTGTGTGTGTGTGATATCATTTACACTGACCCCTCGCCAAAGAGGTCCCTACAGTGGATTTCGAAAACAGTTTACCACCCAGAGACACACGTATACTCTCCTAGAGACCCACTTTGGCGCCTAGCCCGGATCGCCCGGGTTCCAGATTCTCCCACAGCCAATGATACGGCGTCAAATCTCAGGGAAGGGGCTCCATCTAGCCAGAATTAGCTTAGCGCAATCTTAGTGGGGCGCTGGGAAAGAAAGCCTGTGTGTCTGGGGGTAATCTGTTTTCGAAATCCTCTGTACTCGAGTTGACCTATTCCTCTTCTTCAACGCAGACCTCGTTCAACGACAGATCGACAGCCAAGGAGGGGCAATCGCGTTCGTGGACGATTTTACCGCGTGGGTGACCGGACCAACGGCGCAGAGCAATCGGGAAGGTATTGAAGCCATTATCGCGGAAGCGCTTGACTGGGAGAAAAGGAGCGGAGCCACTTTTGAGGCCGACAAAACTGCCATCATACACTTCGCTCCCAAAGTCCACAAAACAGACCAGGAGCCTTTCACTATCAAGGGACAGACCGTTATG